GTTTCCTGCGCTTCGGCTAAAGCTGGGCTCCTCGCCACCGCTTCAGCTTTTTCAGAGTTTGTGGATCAGTTCCGGAAGTGTTAGACGACCTGCACGGTTGAAGGTTGCGACTGCTTCGTGATCGGTCACATGCTATTCACAGGGGTCGGGGCATATTTCTTTCCACAGGCCGTGCTGATACATCGTCATCAACAAAACCCTCATCAACATCAGCATCGTGCTCATAGATGGCTGTCACGATAACCAAGAAACTGCAAGGGTTTTTGTTGTTGTCACTGCAGCTGCTGCTGCTGCTGCTGCCGCTATCGTGACTATGCGGATAACCCTGCCAATTACTAAGGCCTGCTATTACTCTATCGTGCTGTACCTGTCGTTCTAGAGCTCAGTGTCACATCAACCAGGCCCTCGTTTCCCAAGAAGTTCCCATCGCTTCATCTGCACTCGAAGATCTAACATCACCCTCAGAAAGGGGCAAAGTCTGAGCACGCGGCAGCAGGCAATTCCAGAACGGTGCTGGTGTTGGGAACGTCGCTGCCTCCATCACGTGATTGATGCGCTTTTCTAGCCTTCATACTTAGTTTGACAGCGGCTCCCGGGCATGGGCCTGGACGTTGATGGTCATAGTCCTATAGAAAAGCTTCAGCTTTTGGGTTCAACCAGCACATAAAGGAAAGACCAAGGCTTATCTCAAAAGTGTCCACCAGTTCGGACACCCATTGAAAGCGCAGGAGATGGCAGGCCTTCTGGTTCTGTCTTTTAAAAAGCTCTATGAAAACTAGGCCCTGACGCCACCAGGGTCGCCACCACGGCATACTGCAGAGGGACCGAGAAGACAGACCAGAAGCTTCTGCGGAGCAGGTGGAAGAGAAGAGCACGCGACTGGTAATCTGGCACTTGAAGATAACCTTCGAGCAAGCCCAGCGACGGCAAAGACTCGGGACTGCAAGGCTCATGTGGAGCCCGAGGGCCCATCCTCGAACAACCCAAAGGCTTCAGAGGCTTTCAGAGGCTGAGGCTGGCGGGGAACCATGACAAGTTCGGAAAGCATATCGCCATGCAGGTTGCCGTACTTTCCAGCAGGAACTGAATCATCTGCAGCATCACATGCTCAACCACAAAACTGCTTGGCCGTCCTCTGACGCTGCGAATGCAAGACATGCAACAAGCAAGTAAGTGTGGATGCACCAAAGAAAGGTGGTTCAGTATGGACACATGTCCAACATTAACCCACGGATACATGGAGCGAAACTGCCGTTGTTCGTCTGGAATATGTGATGAATGTAGGACATGGATATTACATAGTAATCCTCAGCATCTAATACTCGGAGTCGTGGACTTTGATCCAGCTTCAACGGGACATGTAAAGTCGTTAGCATTTAGGTGTCTAGTGTTGAAAAAGCTCTCGATGCATATGCATGACACATTTACGCGAAATCTATGTGTAAAGCCGCAAGCAAACAAGTTCAATCTTCACCGCTTCCCACACAACCAGAAATATCATGAAGCGCCTCTGTCCGCGTCAGAGCGTGTGAACTCAACATGGACACGAGCCAGAACACGTCAGTCTCAAAACACTGACCCGACTCTGGCCCGACGGATCTGGCCAGTCTTCATGTAAGTCGTGGAAATCATAGAACAAACTACGCAGCCAGCTACTTCTGTCCAGTTCGATGCAAGCAGGGAAGATCGATTGACAAAATACTCTGACCGGTTGTTTAAAGTCTACCTCCTGTGGAGGACTGAAGCACGGACCGGCCTAAGAGGGAGCGGCTGCCGACTGAGAGCGGGAGCTCCGAGAGGTAGAAAACGAAACTCTCCACCTTTCCGGCTTGGGCTTCTTCTCTCTAGGATCTCCGTAGATCTCACGGTTGCTCGGACTCTTGTTCGCCGGCTGAATCGTTTCTTCTTGCTGCACTGACGAACATACTAAGTCAAGATTTGAGTAGACTAGAACATCCTGGCCTTGTGTCATTAACAGTGTAATAGACGCCCTGGTGCCCATTGGCAGAGCCAATTCAAAAACACGGCCCACCTTGTGGCCTTGATGTCTCTGAATCTTGCCAGTACTTGAAGGAAGCATTTTGGCCGTCCTCCTTGGGGACTCATGTTTGCATCCCGCCGGTATTTGGGGGAAAGCAGCTTGGTCGACCTCCGATATCCCGCGTTTTGGGGAAGGCAGTTTCGCCATGCTTCTGAATCCGCCAGCAATTCGGGGAGGTATTGCGGCCGTGCAGTTCTGGTCCTGGTGCTCCTGGCGGTTTCTTTGTGGCCTCCTGATGATCTCCTCGTGGTCGTGGTCGTCCTGGTCGTCTTGGCCGCAGTGCTCGTCGAGGGGTCCTGGTGGTCGTGGCTGTCCTGGTCGTCGCCGTCGTCATCGTCGTCGTGGTGCTAGATCACTGTTCGGGCAGCAAAGTTGGCATCATTCAATGAACACGAAGAAAATCGAACTTCTGAAACAAGCTCTCCGGCACTGTGAAAAATCGCTCTTCCAGGAAATAGTATGTGAGCCGCAAACATGCCGTGGAACCATCTGGAAATGGGGTGATTTACTTCGCAATCCGGTTTTGGGCATGTGTGGACAATGCCGGGTGTAGCATAACTATTACGCAATTCCACGATAACATTGCAGGATCATCCAGGCACCGTACATCTTCAACGTCACCAGGTGATTTATTCCCATACCAACAAGCAACGGATCTACGAACGAGAGTCGAAGATCTGCTCCAAAGACCCCGGGTGCATTGGCAACACCTGGCCTCAACTAGGCAGCCGCTTTGAGCAAGCCCTGTGCTGTAGCTGTGCCCCCCTTTATCTCTGAAGACTAAGAGACACTAAGGCTCTCAAGACATCAGCTCAAACTCCAAAGGCCAAGCTCGATCCAGGCTGCTCTGGAAGCCCCGAGGCTCTCCTCCAGCCTTGCACGTGCAGCTACGAGACTTCATGCTCACGCAAGGCTTCAGAAGTCAAAAGCTTTCTGATTACGATCCTGCTGGTGTCCAGGATCTGGTTCCGGAGCCAGTTGAACAGTTCAAAACGTGGTGGATGTTTCAGCGAGTTGCACGTATACCATAATGCCATGAAGCAGCATTGTGTCAGTTCTCCAGACAGATGGTTTACACGAGCGCCGAGCTTAGAACAAAGCGAAGAGACAGCAATGAGACACAGCTTCTCCCAAGAAAAGCTCAGACCTAACACTATCCATCACTCCTAAACGGAGGAAACCCAGACCTTTTGGCATGGAGCCGGTTGTGCAGGGAGAGGCTGAGAAGCAGACCCCCAACGAATATATCCTCCAAGTTGGCTCACATCCAGATCCTTGCAGGCGTCAGGCTTGTGCTTCACCATGCCTCACCGCTGTGTTTGCACTGCCTGGTCGGCCAGCCGATTTTAATGTGCCTGCACGCACGGGCAGCTTGACTCCCAAACATCCGACTCGAAAGCATCCGAATCCCAAGCCAGACCATCGTGTGTCCTCATCCGCGAAGCTGACGTTGACGACACTTGCCTTAAAAATGGCCCCTCAAGCAACCGGCTTGTTGGATTCTACTGGATTCTACTGCTTTCGACGCCAAGCTTCGACTCCAAACTCATCCAGATGTAGATGTAGCCACAGCCAGCCACAGCCGTCTCTCATCCCGTATCACTGGATCCCAGGAGGCAAATGCCCGAACCACCGAAACCTCGCAAGCACCCTGACAGAATCCCTGTACGGAGCCTCCGCGTCCTCCACCCGAGTGCCGCCCGATGCGATGCTGGATTCGGCATAGGCTGATGCCGCCTCAAGTGCAACGTGAGAAGCGTTCGAGTTGGACTGGAGTGGGCAATGTGATGCAATGTGACTGGACCTTGCTGCCAAGCCGCATAGATCAGCAGGTGCGTTGCATTACCTATTTGCGTCTCTGCCTCAGGTACTTGTCAAGTGACTCGTGATTTGCAACCCTAAGCACTGTCAGCGAGAAGTTTCGGCATTCAGCACATGCTTCTTCTCTCGCAGCCCAAGCAAGACGCGTTGCACAAACCCATGCATGGCATCATCAGATATCGCCAACGATCTGAAATCGGCTGAAGCAAAGACAGCGCCAGCACCAAGCTTCATTACACTTTAATAGAATCCGGAATCTTTCCTGCATCGCGCAAACCCTGGACGATGTGCGATTGCTGCCCAAGATCCGGCACATCAAATGTAGTGGACTGCACAGGCACTGATCCCAGGAGTTCCCTGCATGAGAAGAAGATTGAGATGGACTGTGACTGAGGGTGTTGAGGGCGCAATCCGCCTGGCTCCGAGTTCACATGATGTGACTCAATGACCCAACGTGTTCTTCTGCGCCGTTCCCTGTGGTATCCAGTCTGACGAGAGGTGGGGAAGCCTCGAAATGCCCGGCCAAGGTCTGATTGCATTGAGTACACCCCGCCTTTCCAAGCTTCTGCAGATTTTTGCAATTTTCAACCATCGCTACCTACGCAACCTAGCCTTCGTAGCAATCTAGAAGCGACCCCTTAATCTTCAAGCTCTGCTCCAAGTCCGCAAGACTGCTCAGGCCTCTGCGCACAGAAAATCAGCCGAGTTCTCGTGAAGTTCAGCAATGCGATGAGCTCTTGGCTGTCAGAGACCTCCAGACACGGATGCGGGACGATGTCACTAGGACTGGCTTGCAGAGCTTCTTCAGAAGTACATGCCAAGATGGAGCTTCCTCGAATGCTACATGCGGCTACACCCTGGCAATCTCTTGACGATTTCAGGCGTACCATTTTAAGTTGGACCGGAGAGAATATGGGCACGTCAGTGCAAGAGTCGCCCAAGGGGCTTTGATATTGGCTAAACTGCATGCATCTCTCTGTGCCACGTGTTTTGGTTCAGCGAACTACGAAATACTGCCTGCCTATGTAGGTCGCGTGACACCTCCCAAAACACATCGATAGCCCGGCTCAAAGAGAAATGTCACTTCCCTCCGCACCGTTGAATCCTCAAGGGGTGCTGACCCTTCCACCCCAACGCATCACGACATTGCCATAGTCCCGAGTTTCACCTCCGTGGCATTGGAGCCCACAGAGCTGAGTCTTCGCGCGGGCACCTCAAAAAAGAGCGGGGCCATGGCTCAGAGCAGAACGGAATCGGGGCACAGGAGCAACAGCGGACTTGTTGGAAGATGAACATGTCATGTCAAAGGCTCTTCAAGGGCCAACCTCCCGGCCGCATGCTGCACATTGCTGTGATAGCAGGTGGACATCATTTGTAGGTAAGCAGGTAGGACGGTAAGGATACTTCATCTTGTGTTGAGCACTACCGAACCATTGCTGCTTCCAGAAAGCAGATTTGGTACAGGTCTGATTTCGGCAGTATGACTTAACTGAGTTTAACTTCTGCTGAATCCAGGAGCATCCGAATCCTCGCCCACATCCGTCTCATTGACCTTGATCTCGAGCTCAGGGTTGAGTAATGTGCTGAAAGTTGCCGTCTCGTCAAAGCCCCAGTACAATCCGAAAGCAGTGATCGAAGACTGCAACACGAAGCCTGAACGCACCACAGAGGTTGGGAATGTAATGGTGTCTAGGGAAATTATGCCCCAGGTCGTTCCACAGCTGACATGTCTCCATGCAGCCGTGCCACATCTGTATCCTCCCCCGTGTCCTAAGCTGGGAGTGCTCTAAAGTCTATGATACTTGCAAGGCGTTCCATCTTTGACACCCGAGCGTACAAGATCGAATCGTGTAGCATTCTGAAAAACCTATGGACGAGGGTTCGGTCGAGAATTCAGGGTGCAGGATTGAGGCTTAGACTGTGTTGGACGGCGCGTGTCTGCCCTTGCTCGACAAACGGTGATAAAGCCTGTCGAGCGGAAAATCTCAACATAAATGTCTCGTTGGCCGGGGATTCGGCATGGTTGGAGGTGGTGTGAACAACGAATCCTCTACCGGTCCAGTACTTCGAGGACGCCTTCTTTGAAAGCGTGTTCATGTTCTGATACCTCAGGAAAGGCATCTCACGCTCTCAATGAAATCCAACCTACTACTTAGAAGCGAGCCCTCTCCAAAAGAAACCTGCATTGACAAAGAAAGGCACCGGCAGTCTCAGACATGTTGCGGCTGTTGTTGTCAACGCTGCTGTGGTGGAGGTATGGAAGGCAGTCGAGGTCGAAGTCCTGGTTTTCGAGGTTGTGGTCGCAGTTGTGGTCGCAATCCTCGTTGTCGTCCTTGTGGAGGTCGCAGTTGAAGTCACGTTGTCAGCCTTTGCAAATGCGGGCCCGCAGTCGAACTACGACCTGCCTGAGTCTGGAACTATGCGAGACCTGAACCCGTAACCCGAAGCACACTCTACATTCTATCCACGATTCCATGATCTCTGCGGATCAAAGCCACTGAGTTTCCCCCTCAGCCCTTGAAACGGTGCTGGCGTGGCACGTCTGAGTCTTCGGAGTCATCTTCCTCGATACATGAATCTGAGGATTCCCACTCTCGCATGTGTGTGCGTGCCGGGGGTCTCCGATGCTTGGGTATTGTGACTAGCCTTCACGGACGGACATCGTTGATTTTTCGGAGGGGGGGGACTCGAAGTGTACAGCTCACGAGCTACCAGGTCGTCGGCTAGCGTCCCAGGGTTCGCTCTCTGATATGAGCATGATTCTTCAGCGCTGTACACGGACTTAGGCATTGCCTCACCAGGACAAGCAAGACAACGATCCCTGGAACTTCGTGTCGAGAGTAGTGAGTCCCTATTAGAACATGTCGTGCTGTGGAGCAATCATGAACTGGAAGTAGTCGGCACGTCCAATACCCAAGCAGGCACCGCACTTTATATCGGAAACCGAGTACCCCCTGCCACTACGCGTGCCAAGGAATGTCCGTCGTGCAAGCTCAATTCGTGGTCTTAAAGCTTACCCGGATACGCACTCAGCCCGAAATCAGCCCCACAGGTTGGGGATGCATTTTGCAGAGCCATGCATCTGATTCGATGGTGGTCGAAGTGGTTCGAACTGCGCTGCTGTCGTTGTCGATGTCCACCACATCATCCTCCGTCTCGTTCGTCACGTTGAACACAGTGCTGAAGCTCGGGAGCACGGACGGCAGCTGGTCTACTCCGACTAGCTGAACTGTGACTCGGGCGAAATTGACCACAACCTCAGCACCACAGTTTAGGGAAAAAATCTTAAAGCCATCAACCTCGTTTCCACTCTTCACGGCCCTCAGATAGCACATGCTGACTCCTCCAAGCTAGCCCCGGAATGCCCCGGATGCCAGCAGTATCATGGCCCCAAGCCCCCTCAGCACCAGAACAGTCACCTGTTCTGAGTTTTGGACCTGAACAGGTGACCCACCAACCACCCTGTGCACTGCACCAAGCCCGAAGCTCTGAAGCCTCATCCTTCAAGCCTTTGCTGAGGAAAACTACTCAGGAAGAAGCAACAAAGGCCAAGTTGAAGAGAAGTCTTGAGCAATAGACTGTTCAGATTGCCAATCTCGCTGTCAAATACGCGCTGTAGCGATGTGAAGCCAGAAAACCCCAACATCCTTTGCTCGCTACCAAGATACCAAGGAGGTGGCAACCACTGCACTGTCCACGCCCGCCGCCACCAACTCCACAACCACGGCAGTCCTGACAAGAGCTAGGCCTAGGAGCAGTCGGATGCCTGGGCTTAGACTTTGCAGGCATGAAAAAAGCCTGATGCGGCTTTCTTGTACCTGCGCGTGGTCGAATCCAAGACTCTCAGGGCATTCACCAAACACAGCGTCATCTCGATCTGTACGGCTTAGCGGTCTTGCTGCATGTCCGCTGCTTTTTGCATGTGCTCGTTGAAACCGGAAGCAACAACTAAATGGAAACCCTCGAGCTATCGCAATTCTCCTACCCTCTTTCACAGCAGACAAGAACCATCAAGAACACGAATTTATACGCCGATCCCCGCAACCTACCGGCTCTGCTTGGACTTGTACAGCCTGTCAAGTTGCAGGCCTGAAGGCAGCGGTATCGGCAGCCACTGCGCTTGCTGTGGCCACTAGTGATGCAGCCTGTGCGACATGATACGCCACGCTTCAAGCATTTAATTCAATGGAGGATTCGGAGCTTCAATCATCGGACTTGGCAAATTCGGGCCAGTGTGGGTAGATCCAACTGGAATAAACAAAATCTTCCAAGTTGTGCTGGGCAGTACGCTACCAGCACTACATCAGCGACGCCCACGACGACGACTGGCACTAATCCACAATGCTGTCCCCACAACAACGACGACGAGGAGGAGGAGGACGAGGACGACGAAGTCGACGACGACTAAAAGTACCACCTCTACTACCACGACGACGACGACGACGACGACTACTACTACTACTACTACCACTACTGGTACTACTACACCTACTGCTACTGCTAACGTTACTGCTACTTATGCTCATGCTCCTCTCCTGCTGCTGCTTCTGCAGCTGTTTCTACTGTTTTCACAGCTACTACTGCTAAGACTGCTGTTTCCAAAACAACCGTCACAACGACGACGATGACGACGACGATGACCAGGACCATCGCGACGACTCTTCGTTAAACTGCCAATCATTGAACCGTACAACAGTCTATTCCTTGTCTTGGAGTCCTCGTCGCCGGGTACCACGATGATGTAGGAGACGTCCCAGAGTGTGGCCAGGCGGCGGCCTGAGCCGCCCTGCATTTCGAGGCATCATACAGAAGTGAGCGGGCTCGAGAGCGTTGTTCTGTTTGTGTATCCTGCCCTGCAAAGCAGCACGGCCGGCACATAGTGATAACCGTAGCGGGCATGAGTTCCCTGCACCCCTTCCTACATACGCTGACTACTCAAGCGCAGGCCTGGCTGACGGTAACATAGAGCACCGAAGCAGGTACCTCGATCAAGTCGGACATGAGCCAAAGTACAGGTCCATGTCTTTCAATGGCTCTGCAGTTGGAGGCGTTAGCGTTGGTGGCTTCGGGCTGGAGGGTTGCTTACAAGGCTAAGAGCGCTCGGGGCTTACACATCCAAATCCTTCCAACACAACGGCTTGGTCCGGTCCCTGAACCGTTGCATCTCAGGTGGCTGCAATAACGTGACGAAGTCGTCGGCCTAACCTTAGAAAGCTGCGAACTGCAGATGCCAAGCTGCTCCGAAAGTCCTCGCCAAAGCCGCCCTCATGGCAGTCGCAACCTCTCACAGACGGGGGATAAAGTTCAGTATCGCATCGCTCCTCGAAAAACGGAACAGCAACAGCAATACAGACTGTAAGACACGCCCATTACGGGCAGAGTTGCTGCAACGACAGGAACGGCGATGGAGTAACTGAATCAACACATCTTTCAAAAGGGCCCGCATCTTTCAATACGGGCAGACGGCCTGCTGGGAAGTTGCACCATCGAGACTGATGGAGACGATACCACTGATGACCTGAGGCTGACTATAGGGGCCAACAATGGTGCATTGCCAACATTGCAGTGTTGCATAAAACCTGTTCAGGAACGAGACATGTTCTCACTGCGTTGGCTACGAGCAGGCCCAACAAGCAGATCGAGCTTTCCATTTCAAACAGTCCGCAGCTGTATGGGAAAAATTACAGACTGCCTGGTGGCCACGGCGGACGAACCCTCGTTTTGAAATCCCACAGACTGGTAAGGCGGAGACAGCAAAGAGTTCAGCATCGGACGTAGTCCTTAGACAACGGAACGAGCTTCTTGCTCAACGGAGCCGTGAAACGAATGACCCGAACTGTGCTGCTACTGACCTGAAGCTCTTTGGCTGGTCGAGCACCCGTCGAAAACATTGATGCTCAGCAAGTTTCGAAACGTTCTCGATGCAGTCGATGCCGAGGTACACATTGTATTGAGTCACCTGTGGTTTGCACCGCCGGTACAATTCGTATCAATATGTAGTTCAGTCATTGCTAGCCGTTGCCTGCTGGGCCGTCCCTTACAGAAGAGCCTCACCGACCGACGGCGCGGGCAAACACAAGAAGTCACACAAAGACGAAGTGGACAACAGAACATCTAAACAACCGGTGTGACGTAACCCCGCCCCGCCCACACCCTGAAACGGATAATTAGCGTCGATCGTTTGACCTGCAAGCTGAGCACGGGGACGTGTATTGGAAGCCAAAACACCTAGAAAGCTTTCAGCACATCCACACCAATCTGAGACTCAAGACCTCCAATCCCTCGAAGTCAACCGAGTCGAGCCGACCTGGGTGTCGTCCAGGGCCTGGGTCCAAGTCAAAGCTCCTCCGAGTTCCGTCAGGTCGAGATCCAGATCCACGAAGGACTCCTCGAACATTCGGGCGTTTTAAAGTCATCGATACGAGTTGTAGGCGATCTGTCTCAGAAAGCACTGGTGACCAGGTGTCACTAGTGCAACGCAAGGTGCATCATCCTCCACACCGGGCTCCAAGCACATGTAGCATGCCTAGCCTAGACAATTCTCCTCCACCACGAAAAAGGAAGTGTCAGAAATCTGCGTCGACACCGGAGTTGTCCTGAAGACCGCAGCACAGTCTGGGGCTAGTGTGCCGAAGGCTGTAGCTGCTGTCGCTTCCTGTTGAAAGGTCTGTGGGAAGGATTCCAATCAGACTCCGATCTAATGACTGGTGCTCAGACTCAACCATTGGCACGCTGAGATGCTGCTCGGCCAAAGCAGACCGAGTGAAGACGATCGCGTGATTAAAGTCGTTCAGCGCAGTTTCCTGGAGCAGATGGACGCGGCAGGCAGGCATGCAAGTTTTAGGAATGTCCTGACGACAGGCTGAACTGCTGGCCTACTGCGACCACGGGGCCGTAGACAGAAGGACGTCGCTGACATCACTTGGCACATCATCACCAATCTGGGACTTGCTTGCCCCGGCAGCATCCTCAGAGAGGTAGGCCTTGTATGCCTAGGCGAAGCGGACGGAACGTGATATTTCCGCAAGGGGGTTGGCTTTGACAGTTCATGTTTTAGGTGCTTTCAAGGGGGCCCTATACAATTTAATGAATTGTGCCTGCAGACATACGGCAATCCTCCATTAGCGCCTTTTCAACTGCACGTCAAACAACATGACCCCACGAAGGTCTGCATGCAGACTTCTTTACTGTGGGCATGACGAGCGTCAGTGATCCACTGAGCTGCTTAACTCGCAACCCCCGTAGCCACAAAGTCAGCATAACAGACAAGCGGTGCCTCTACGTACTCGGTGCCGTTGGGAGCTGTCCAGGAAATCTCAGAGGCTTTGGCTGGGGCTTCGAGAGTCCGGCTGCCAAGTCAAGCGGTTACTGTTCGAGTTCTGTCTTGAACACTTAGGAAGAACCTGAAGGCACCTACAAAAGAACGGCGCCACTGTGATCGGCCACCCTCTAGACTTCAGGCTTCCAGAAGGAAAGGATTGGGGGCTGGCAAGCTTGGGCGGTTCTGTGCATGAGTTCGCAGCTCACGGTTGACATACTCCCCACGCCTCCGTTCTGCAGAGATTCAGGCTCACGTTTGAAAACGGCAACTCAGGTAGAAGTCAGCTATACCCGGCTTCGATTGCCGAAAACTGAGTATATGGAAAGAAAAGGCTCCAATCTCCAAAGCCATGAGACGTTCCCGCCGATCTCGTTCGTGTCGAGGTCATGATCGATGAAGGCCACCTGCTTGCGCTGCTGCTGGGCGTTGCTGCATTGTGTTTCGACATTTCCCAAGCATGTGTTAACCCGTTTAAGTTTAGTGTAGGTCGAGTCTAGGAGTCCAGGGCCGTCGAGGGGTGCAGGTGTATGTAGTCCTTAACAGCTGGGAGGGTTGAAGGCACGAGCCTCGGAGACACTGGCGGATCGATCGAAGATCCTGGTGGCCGCAGGTGTGGTTTGCCTTGGGCCATGCGGAGAAATCTTCGTGACCGTCGACAAGACGGCAGGTGTCTCAGCACATCATTAGACCTTATCAGGGCGCAGCTAAGACCTCAGTTGGCTGGCCCTGGGAACACTAGCAGCACTAGCCCCGTTTTTGAGTTGCCTGCGGCTGGGAACTCGGGCTGAGTCATGCACTCTCGAGCCGCGCAAAACACAAGAGCTCGGAAAACTGTCCCTCGTAAGAGCTGCAGCTACGGCGTCAGGACGCTTGGTTGTTCCGGGACCTGCTTGGGCTTCAGTCTGAACAAGTTCGGGACATGTTGTTGCATTGAGAAGAAAGTCCAAACTCCACATCTACTTCACCCTAACAGCAAGTAAAACAAAAAGGTCGAGCTGCTCCTGAAGCTGGCTCCGTGCCTCGCGAATTCAACGCGCCGTCTTGCTAGTAATCTCTACTACAACCGGAACCACACCCGAAAGCCCTATACTGGACTTTGTGCAAAAGCCAGAACCCGACATCACAACCGTCGTAGTCTTGCAGTGGCAGAAGCAGCAGCAATCACAGGCAGTTTCCCACTGCCACCACCACTACCCTGCCGCCACCGGTGCCGCCACCGGTGCCGCCACCGGTGCAGCCACCGGTGCCGCCACCGCCACCGCCACCACCACCATTCGACAACGACAACGACGACGATTACTACTTCTCCTGTTGCTGCTACTACTACTACTACTACTACTCCTGCTGATACTACTACTACTACTACTGCTAATACTACTGCTACTACTACTGCTACTACTACCACCACCACCTACTTCTACTGCTCCGAACGTCTGCTGCAACTACTACGACTTCGACAAACACACAAGGCACTAGCATTACAAGGTGAGGAATCATCGCAACTGCGCTCGAATAGTAGCAGGCACATAGGAACCAGTGTGCTTGCATTCACAACGTGTCGCATTGATGCCAGATGATTCGGGCAGAACCCATGGGGTGAGAAGCTTGGGGGCTTCGTCTCTTTGGGCTTTCGTTCGGATGAGCTGGCCTTCGCTCTACTCGAAAATCAACATCACTCCAGGACGGAAGGCAACCTCCAAACCCCGATCATGCGGGGCTTCGTTCGCGACTAGCGGCATAGACGAGCAAGTAGGAGCTGCTGGGAATGTCCGTATCCACAGGCACCGAAATTTCGTGAACTCCAGCCGGTGTAGAGCCAACCAGAGAGCGGTTGGTTCCCGTCTCGTCGAGTGCAATATAAATCAGGAAGTCCGTGATTCGACCTCGTCAGCATGTGGCACTTCCCTGTAGCTCTGGGCTGCCCCCGGCTTTCGCCTCTGAGGTCATGTTCCATGCGCAAGTGGAAACGTCTGAAGGTTCGCCAGGACACTCAAGTCTGGAGGATCCCAGACCAGCTGGCCACCGATTTGCCCGAGGTCCAGGTCCTGCAAGGGCCCGCTGACATGTGCAGACACTGCAGCTGGTATCGGCACCACTGCAGCTATGCTGCTGCTAAGGTTCCTATGAGTATCCATTGTTTAGCTTGTGTACGTTGGGAAATTGCAGGAATGCGGGCCTCCGTGCTGAATGACATATTGCTGAAGGCGATGAAACTGCAGATCAGCACCACAAAGGATTGTCACACCACTACAAAGACAAGCAGCAGTCAGAATGCTTGTAGTCATGTACAACCCATCTCGTCATCGACACCAGCACCAGCGGCACCAACCGCATCATCAACAAAGCCTATGTCACGAAGCAGTAGTCGCGGAACCGGTTGCAGTAAGCGGTAGTGGCAGTAGCAGTAGCAGTAGCAGTAGCAGTAGTAGTAGTAGTAGTAGTAGTAGTAGTAGTAGTAGTAGTAGTAGTGGTAGTAGGCTCCATTCACTTCGTTTGCCGCGCACATGGCGCGGCAAACGGGTTTGCATTGGTGTGTTTCATTGCAACAGGCAGAGTGCGATTATGCGAAAACTGTGTTTTCGCTTGGTGCCGTGTTGATGCAGAGGATGACGATGAATTTGACCAAGTGGACGTCATTAAGCCCCCCCCACCCCACCCCGAAAGTCACCCCTAAAGTGCGGCAAACGAGGGTGATGGACCCTAGTAGTAGAAGTAGCAGTAGCAGTAGCAGTAGCAGCAGCAGGAGCAGGAGCCGTAGCAGGAGCAGGAGCAGCAGCAGCAGCAGCAGCAGCGGCGGCAGCAGCAGCAGCAGTAGCAGTAGCAGTAGCAGTAGCAGTAGCAGTAGCAGTAGCAGTAGCAGTAGTAGTAGTAGCAGTAGTAGTAGTAGTAGTAGTAGTAGCAGTATCAGCAGCAGCAGGAGTAGTAGTAGTCCTACTACTACTACTACTACGACCACTACCACTACCACTACTACTACTACTACTACTACTACTACTACTACTACGACTACTACTACAACTACCTACTACCTACTACCTACTACCTACTACCTACTACCTACTACCTACTACCTACTACCTACTACCTACTACCTACTACCTACTACCTACTACCTACTACCTACTACCTACTACCTACTACCTACTACCTACTACCTACTACCTACTACCTACTACCTACTACCTACTACTACTACTACTACTACTACTACTACTACTACTACTACTACTACTACTACTACTACTACTACTACTACTACTACTACTACTACTACTACTACTACTACTACTACTACTACTACTACTACTACTACTACTACTACTACTACTACTACTACTACTACTACTACTACTACTACTACTACTACTCTACTACTACTACTACTACTACTACTACTACTACTACTACTACTACTACTACTACTACTACTACTACTACTACTACTACTACTACTACTACTACTACTACTACTACTACTACTACTACTACTACTACTACTACTACTACTACTTGTGCAAGTACCAGCAACAACAGTTTGAAGTACCAGTACTAAGTACTAGTGTATAATAGAAAGTGAGGCAAGCTATCTTGATTTTGGCATGTTCAATGGCCTCGCAGCCTTCCGATGGAAACCTCGTCGAACACCCAGAGATGAAGGACAGAGGGGTTCAAGTCGAAAAACATTTTGGTTGGACTAACGAAGTTGAGGGACATCGTGCACACTGGTGGGGGTTGCTGTCGTTTGAGAAGTCTTCGCAGCACCATCGCCGTAGTTGTCGCCGGTGGCAATCGTGGTGGTCGTCGCAGCAGCAGCGGTGGTAGTCGTCAACCGTCTTGCCCCAAAGGTAAGACTTTAATTTGATTTAGTGCTCAGCCTGACGTTTTCGAACGTTGGAAGGAGCGCAAGAGAAATCATAATCATCGCAGTAAGTGAACTCATCATGACCACCAACAACGCCGTGAGTTGGGAGATGTGTGTATATGTCAGCGATGACAGCACCCCAAAAGTAACAACAGTTGCAATCCTCATCAAGACTGTTCAACTTCTAGCATGTAAACGCAGTGATCCTATGGTTACAGTGATGGCTTTGACGATGATACTCACCAGCGCATTCGACACCGTTTTTTCCGTCTGCTGATAAGACTTGAAACTCGGAGCGCACGGCCAAACGTCGAATCTAGTGTGCGAACACCGGGAGGCCACACAGTCCTGATCTACGAAGCTGGCGTTTGCCGCGCGCTCGGCTGTGTCCTTGCAAGTCTGACAGTGATGGACATGTTGCTTGTGGCCAAAGACCCCGCCCCTTGAGTTTGAATTTTCAAGTGGCACCCCGAATTTCGAGCAGCCGCGTCGCAGCAAATGACAAAAATGCCGGCGTAGTCTGTTCCGTCAGCTCCTGGAATGGAGTTGAAAAGGCAAACATACAGGACATCCGATGACCCAAAGTCTGGCGACTGGGTTCGAAGGGGCTCGCTTCAGTCGGAAAACTCTGGCCACTATGGCTGTACCCATGCAATCATCATGCCAATTCGTTCGGCGAGATAGGGCCGCGACGGACTTGGTGTACACCAGGATGTGCGAGTAGTTCTCTTGATCCGTATCTGGTGGAATGAGCAAGTAGTTGCCTGGGCTTCATCAAATCTTTTCACAGGCGCCCAACCACTGCCGGAAACATTTCCAAAACGAACTGTTTTCGAGGTCCGTTTCACTCACCAGAACGCAGGCTTGTTTTAGATCTTTTCCATCGCCCTACGTTGCTCAGCTTTCTCAAACGTTGCCCACAAGACACTGGAATTTCAAGCCCAAACCTTCAGCCAAGGGGCTGCCGACTGGCACCTCTGGAGGAATCCACGCCCGATCCAGGCCATCAGAGCTCTCAGCCAAATAGACCACATAGCTAAGGACCTCATCCGGAGCAAGAAATGCTCATGCTCGCCGCGAAGTCATGACTGTTCAGAGTTCCGAATCTCAGGATGCAAGCTCGCGGAGGCTGAAACGAGCACTGAGTGGCGCTGAGCAATTCGCAAGGCTTTTCTGTATGCTCTGAAGAGGAATGATGAGGAGCAGGAGACGAACGATGTTGATGACGACGGGCGAGGATCATGACCGGTGGTCGATGACTGACCGGCGACAGCTGATATGCGACGCGTGATGGATGATGATACAGTAGTAGGCGAGCTTTGATGTACGATGAGCGATGAAGACAAACTGGTTGACGATGAGGGCAAACTTGTTTTGACAGTCACCCCATCGCGATCTTCTCCCACCCTCGAAAAGAAACTTCACCTTTCAAGAAGGCCGAGGTAGCGGAAGCATCCTACAGTCTCATGTAGGCCTTCCTTCGACCGCTTGTCACCTCCGGGCTCCCGGGCACTCTCCGTGAGGTTAGGTGGACTCCAGCTCACATTGCCACCCAGCTGGTCTAAATCCTAAGTTCGGCTTTTGCCTGTCTATGCAAAACGGATGTGGTCGCGCCTTAAGACTAGGATTCGGATTTTGGCGATGCTGTTAGTGGCGGCTCGGCGGCAGTTCGCGTTGCGGGCTTTGGCACCTAAGGCTTGGCCTGCTTGGGGCTTATATAAAGCATAAGGTTCAGCTCGCTCAACAGAGGCCCAGCATCGAGGTCCAATCCATCGTAGGCCACGTCCGAGACACTCGCAGACATGTCGTAGATCCTCGGCACTTGAACCCCAACTCTGAAGCCCTAAAGGCCCCAAGCTCTGAACGTCTCCTCAAGCCTATGTGCCGTTCACCCCGACACCCCAGACCCCCAATTAAAGCAGATAGATATCTGGTTTCAGAGCATGGGGTCTCTAAACCTAGTCTTGACTCAGAGTTTCTGGATGTTTCTGGCTTAGTGAAATATGTGGGGGTTGGGGCTCGAGCTCCCACAGGATGAGGCACAAATGCGTCGTGGGAGTGGAAGCCTCGCCGAAGTCTGAGGATGCGAAGACCAGAAAGTGACTCCAGGAGGCCAAGGGCAGGTCCGGCTCCACCTGGCTAAAAGCACAGGGCCGCGTGGCGCAGCGTTGCGCAAGGTTATGCCGTTGTGCCGGCCGTTGGACTGGCTTCAGGATTCTCGCGAAAGGGCTTTGGAGTCACGGTTCTGGAACAACTTTCGTGCTCTGGCCGAGATTGCCTGGAAAGACTCGGGTTTTGCGTATATGCAGGCGTTGGAACTCATGCCCCGCCTTGGTGTTTCAGCTCCAGGGTTGTGGCCGAGTTCAACCCCGAAAAACGAGCACTCTGAAAATCTGATTTGCAAGGCTCGTGACGAGCAGTAGTAGTAGTGGTAGTCGTCGTCGTCGTAGTCCTA